GGGGGGGTCAGCCTGGCACCCACCAGCACCCCCACCCCCAGGGACCCCCTCAGCCCCAGGGATCACCCACCGACCCCTCAATGCCAGCCCCCCCCCAGTGACAGACCCCCCAGTCACCCCACACTAGACCCCAATGCCCCGGTGTCACTCCCCAGCCCGAGGTGCCACAGCACCCTCCCCTCCAACCCCACCATGGGCAGGGGGTCCCCTGCAGCCCCCCCGAAGCTCCCCCAGAGCCCCCACTGACTGTTGGTGCAGAGGCTGGTGCAGAAGTGGTGGCCGGGCAGGGGGTGCCCAGGTAACCAGTGGCTGAAGTCCCAGGGGCTCCGGTCAGTCCAGTGGCAGCGGGGTCTTGGGGTCTGCCAGGTAGAAGGGTATGTGGACCCTCGGCACCGGGTATGGGGTGCCCAGGGGGGTGGAGGGCAGGCTGGGCACCCGGGGTGGGTACTGGGGACAGTAGGATGGGAATGGGACTCTCAGGGTTGGCAGCGGGATACCCGGGATAGGCACCGGGGATAATGGAATGGGAATGGGACATCCAGGGTGAGCACTAGGGATACTGGCACAGGGCTGGAGTATCCAGAGTGGGTACCAGGGACACCGGGGTGGGGTTGGGGCGTTCGTGGTGGGCACTGAGGACACTGGGAATGGGGCTGGGACACCCAGGGTGGGCAGTGGGGACACTGGGATGGGGCAGGGTGCCCCAAGGCCGGGGTGGTGGGCGCGGGGCGGGGGGTCCTTACGGCGGGGTCGCTGACGGCACCGATCCAGACCAGGCCTGCGTTGCTGAGCCGGTGCACCAGGCGCACCAGGAAGGCATTGGTGCTGGCACTGTGGATCGAGGCCAATTTCCCGCGGTATCTCAAGGCACAGAAACTCTGCAGGGACGTGGCTGTCACACGGGGGGACCAGAGCCCCCCACCCTGACCCCCCACCCAACCCGCCCCGTCCCACCTGTGCTTGCCGGAAGGTCCGGCACCTGGGCACCATGATGTAGGTGGGGGTGCTGGCTCCTGGTGCGCTGGGGACGCTGAGTGTCTGTGTGTCGCTGGCCCCAACAGCCTCCTCAGGCACCTCCAGCCCCATCGCCTCCTCCATCTCCTCTGCCACGGGGCTGGCAGGGCCTAGGGGCACCAGCAGTGTCATCCCGGGGTCGGATTTGTCCCCAGGATGTCTCCACGGGCAGGTGGGGGTGTGGGGGCCACTCACCGGAGCAGCTGGGGGGCACAGTGCCCAGCAGGGCCAGGGC